AAATCGTGAGGATTTTAAAAGCGAGCTGAAGCCGAAGATTGGTTTCTAACTCGCTGCTGCTGACTGAAAAAACTGCAGTTTAAAACGCAAAAATGTCGGTAAATGTAGTTTTGGGTAACCGATTTAACGGCGTAAAAGCGCGAAGAACTGAGAGTTTGAAGCTAAAGCCGCGAAATTCAATAATGCTCAATAAAACAGTGCATTAAAGATGAGGTTTAATCGGAAAATGACGCAAACATTGGGGCACTTGAGAGAATTCAGGTGCCAAGACACCAAGAGTAGGTACTGGCTTAAATGATTAAAGTGCCTGATGATGGCTGAAAAACGAAACGGGTAGGCTTCACCATCAGATCAATCCCAAAGGCTCAAAAGCAAATGCGAATCTTGATTCTGGTCACGTAAAACATCTGCCCTAGTAATCGGCAGCGTTAGTAATTCCTCCATAAAATTGCAAAACAAATCGTTTACGTATCCTGGAACGGAATTAGGCCCGATGGCGGTAAACAAAGACACCTCAGCCTGGCCACTAATGGATAGAAATGTTCGGAACACATTAGCACTTACTGGCATTATGGAAAAGTGCCAGAAAAAAAAGGAAAGCAAATTTTCTGGAAATTTCCCTGGCCACTGAACAGTCTTAGATCGTAATAGGGAAATGTTTTCGATGTTTCTGGCAAAGTGCGACTGCCTAAAAATACTGGCGCAAAATGCACTTTGTCCGCTTGAAAAAAGCCCATTAGCAGCGGCAGGCAGACGGAAACGTTCCAGTTGGCATTGCATGATTGCGGGTTTTGCAAAAAGCGCCAGTCCATTGTTTTATGCAACAGGCCAACTGTTTTGCAAGTGTCGTTCAATGCCGTCCCGATCCAGGATCCAGAGGATGGGGATGCACTTGCGAGCATTCATCCAGTGGGAATGTGTTCGCATAAAACAGTTGTAAATTTCTGATTTACTGCTCGCGGATTATGCGAACTTCATATTGGCGTTTTACTACTTAAAATATCAACGGATTTATTTTTGTAGTAAATACGTGCGGCAATTTAACGGCCAGATTTTCCACAAGTACGTACACGAGCGTAAATTGTGGATTTATGGGAGAAAAGAGCTGAGCCATAACAACCATTGTTACTTAATTAGTCCAGTGCCGGCGCTCCAAAGCAACGCCCCCGAAGAAAGTTTCAATTTTATCCAAAAAACCTGGCAAGTTGGAGCTTTGCCCAATAAATATTTCTTGGGAAGGCCATTTTTTGGACACACGGATAAACGCGACCCCGATTAGAAGATTTCCGTATATCGCTTTCGGATCGGGGGCCCCAATGTTTTATGAGTTTTGCAATTGAATCGTGCACCAAACGGAGCAAAAGGGATCAAATGAGATTGTCATTCAGGACAATGAATTTTCAGCGTTTTTGCCATCGATTTCGTTCGCCAAGCCTTCATTCAGTCTACTGGGGGAGACTTTTATGATTGATCTGATCAGATAAAAAATTGCGAAAAAAAGACGCTCCGTTTTAATTCTTCAAAGTTAGAACAGTCCGTCGATGTTCTTGCGTAAGATGCGTAATTTTACAAGACGTTCTGATTGATTCTCCCTCTAGATTCAGAACATCGATGGGATTTCTTCCACACAAACTGCGCGAAACAAGCAGCTGACCACCATCGATGTTCTGACTTTAGACAAGTCATTTTTGAAGTTTTTTTGTGTCCGAAAATTCCACAATAAAAGGGATTTTTGCTTGAATAAAATCCGGTAGTTTTCTAAACCATTGAGTTTCTCTCAGTGCCCAGAACTCGGTGACGAGCCAAACCTCTTTATGTCCATATTTCACCAGCAACTGGAGATTTTTGGCGTTTTCCTCGGGCATTGGAAAAATCATTGCAATTTCTTAGAAAAAGGAATTGCAACTTTCAACACAACCACAAGTCCCAATCCATTCCAAAGGATGGAACAGAAGGAACGGAAGCCGAATTGTTAATGCAAGACAAGACTAATGGAAATTAACTAAAATTACACCTGCCAACAGTAAAGGGAACGCGATAAATTAGCCGTACAGCCCAGTTAAAGTTAAACAGAACAAAAAAGCAATTTATCCTGAACCAGCCCGAAATAGCCCAGAAGAACAATTGCTGCCGCCTCACTTAATTGAAGGCGTTATAAATGGACAAGAGTGGCCGAAGAGAGGAAGGGCTTCGAAGAGTACAAACGCAAGCATCAAGCGGGCTCAGAAGAACAGCAAGCAAAAAACAACAAAAATCACTCTGAACAACCGGGAAGAGCCTACCGTCGCAAAGTTTGCAGCGTTTGGCCCGCGGAGCCTCCGATCCAGCTGAGCCCTGATGGAATGATGACGTCAGTGCCGTGCTCACGGGCATCTCTTCTGATCCCCGACCGATCACAAAACACCATGATGCCGTGGAGCGCCGCTTCTGAGTGCTCGTTCTGATCCCCCAGCGCACACCTGTTGGGCGGCATCAAAGGGCACGTCTGCTGCATCGGACCGCTGCATTGTCACGCTACTGATTGGTCATTTGAGCCGGAGAGTCAGTGGCGGCACGTCAATGCATGCAGGGGCCGACATGCAGGGGCCGCAGCGGCTGATTTTTGCTTACGGGAGGAGTTGGGGCCCAAATTCGCCAGAAAACACACCGGACTTGTGTCGCTGTGGTATTTTGGAACGGTCGGTGCAATAAGTGGCGTCGCGCTGCACGGCCGACTTACTGAGGCGTCGCGGCGCCGACGTCGATGTGCGCCGCTCGGTTTTAAACGGCTTTGCCCGAACACTGCCGGCGATAAGTGAGCATTTAGTGGACAACGAAGTACTTCAAGTCGTTTCTCTTCCTAAATGCCTGATGATGGCCCAGCACGGATGCCAAGCGAAACGAGGCACTTTTCAAAAAACTCAACGGTCTAAAAAGCGACTGATTTTTAGCCAACCAGTCAGAACATCGATGGTGGTCAGCACAGTCTCATACTGTTTGCATGGATGGAATCCCATCGATGTTCTGACTCAACAGGAAGAATCAGACTTTGAGCTTTACTACACCGGCTTTTTACTTTGCCTCTATAAAACGTTGTATGTTTATGAGGGTGTTTTTTCAGGTCGGAGTTTGGGATTTATTGATTCCACCACAGTCATTCCAATCCCACCCAAAAAAAACTCTGAAAATATGTTTTTGGCACAACTAACCGTCCCGATTTACTCCAAGTTCCCCCGATTGCTCAGAAAACCCGACTATTACCCAATCGTGCTGTTGTATAACGTAAAAGCGATTTAAAGCCCGAAAAAATTCATCAAAATATAAACTACTCCAAAGTGTTTGGTATGTAGAAACCAAACTGACAGAAAGTTAAACAAACTTTAATTTCGAGCCAGCAGGGTCGCACTTGCGGGAAATTGTGATGGGCAAATCGAGCCGCTCAGACGGGTTTAATTAACGGCGCAAACAGACTCAGCTGGATCGGTTTAGTCTTGCGGTCAAACCATACAGGGAGGCCTCAAAAATTCCCTGTGAGCACTGAGGTGTTTCTCGGCAAAAGGATCCGATCCTGCCAAGCCCTGCTAGTCCCATTAAGCCAATTTTTTCGCCCGATTTATACAAAACAGCGGCAATTTATTTTCGTAGTCCGTGTTTACCTTGGGGATTTCAACTATCTTTTAGTGATGCCAAGCAAATGTTCTCATTTCGAGACTCCTGGCTGAGTGGAGGTTGCCAGGGGGGCAGGAAAAGACAGAACGTAGAAAACAAGGCTTCGAGTGGGGACGCCACTGCGGAAATCATTGCTTCGTTAGCTCATTGTTTTGTTTCAAAATGAATCACCTTGACGGCTATTTTCGGCCACTATTCAAAAACATGTTTGTAGAAAATCCATCCAGCCTAAGAGCGGTCCAGACTGGACCTCGAGCTGAAGGAGAACCCGATGATTTATCGCTTAATACCAATCAACAGGAGAAAAATTGCTTTTGGCTTGGCCACGAAGACAAAACCGTCCAATTGGACGCGCACTGTTTGTGCTTTCTATTTCATAAAAATAGGTTAAAATGTTCAAACTTCTTGTTGGCCAGCGACCAAAACGCTGAAATCTAAATCTTGGTTTGCTTCTTGTTTGACTGTCTTTTATTTTTAAGTTGTTTTGTTGTGTGGCAATCGGCGATAACTAAGCGCATTTTAATGGCCTCATAATCAACTAGCTGAGCAATTTTTCAAATGCAGTCTAATTCAACTTGTTTATGATTTAAATGTGGGTTTTTTTGAGTGGAGATCGCACTGAGGAATGGTCCTTGGCATTATGGTGAATGCGCCAATCAACTAGTAATGAAGCGTGGAATTTGTTTTGGCTGAAGCTTGGGTTTGTTTTCAGTATCCTTATCAAATGCCGACAATAATATTGTTCAAGATAACGCGCCAATAGCGGCAGACAATTGATACAAAGGTCAGCGATAAGGCGATTTCAATGCCATTGTCACAGGCCAGAAATAACGCTTACAATTTGCAGACAAATATCGCCAAGCGACACCTGGGACGCGTCCAATGATTACTCAGATTTGTTTCCATTTAATTCTGCATTTTTACGATCTATTTCGCCTTGGAATCGGCCAAGCATGCTGTTAATTCACTATTTTTTTTCGTCTACTCAATGTTTCGCTTTTAATAATTGGCTTATCTCAGGTATCCTTGTGTATCAATAATCGATGTAATATCGGACTGGGAACGCAGATTGTTACTTCATTAAAGCACATACATAATAAACTTGTTTACACTTTTTCCTTCCTAGGTTCGCCCACATTTCAACGACTCGTGTACCAGGTGGCTCAAGCTGATGGAGATCCAAAGAAGCGTTGCAGGCAAACGCCCAAAACGTTTGCAGATACTGCGATCCGCAACTTCTTTGTAACACAATGGAAGTTTCCTAATGCAGTTGAGCGGATGCCTTCCGAACCCCATGTTGGAAGAGCTCAATGGTAAGCCAGAATTGTATTGTTCGGGCCTGCACTTAGACGTTCTTTTTCTCGCGATATTTTTTCTTGAATTCAAACTTGAAGCTACTGGAAGCTTCTTCAGCGTAAACTGACTACATTGGAGCATTGATCCACATGATGCCGGCTAATCTATGCTTCAGCAGTCGCTTGAAAATCACAAGCTGAACTCGATTATACGAATAACGGGGGCAAAAACCGCATCAACCACGTCTAGACTGTTGACAAGTTTAACGTCACGGCACCCCCCCAAGTAAAAGCCGGGGGATGGTCGGATGAATTTCGCCTTGCCGGGCTTGACAGGGGCCCCGTTTCTCGGCGTCCAGGCGCTCTGGTTATCGAGATAAACCCGACCGAAATATCATGTGGTTGCTGATAGCGAAAATACGTGGGTGGGTTGAGTTGATCGGGTGAACCGTTAGGAAAACTTGATTTAGGGCCACTTACCAGCAATGGATGTGGTGCATTACCGGCCCTGAACGTCGGGCCTGCTTCGAGATCGAACCGCACGGTTCCACGGGGTACCGGAGATTTATTATTCGCCAGAAAAACAAACGGAATTTCTCAGATGTCACAACACTCAACTAACACGCACGCCATGTTGATTGGTGACAAACAGCGCGTGCCGCCCTCTAGGAGCGCGTCTAGGCGACAGCATTAGTTTTTCTCCCTAACTATGCCCTGGTAAGAGACGGGGGTCTCAAACTGCCCTCACTCCAGCTAGGACTGATAATCATAGAGAAAGTTTATATAATTATTTTACTTACTCTATGCTGATAATACTCCTCAAAACGCTTAAAGCACATTTGCATGCACCGAGCGAGTTAAATAGGAAAGATCAACTGCGCGCCATCTCGAGCCCCCAACAGCAAACAGCAAAAAAATGACGGCAATTATCAACAATTTTACGATTTTTTGCAAAAAACAAAATAGACGGCAAGAAATCATCATTTAATAAATTAATTGTAAAAACAGAAAATTGGGCTACAATAGATTTACCATAAATAAATATTATCCTACTTAATAAGTTATCACGAGACAACAAACGTATTCCACTAGATAAATAAAATAAATTAGTTAACAGATGCCGAGGAATAGTATGCCAAATGCCATGTGCATCCACTTCTCAATAAACAAGCACATACAACTGCATAGGAAACAATACTTGACTAAAACCAGTGCAGCCAGGACGCACCATTTCGAATACAGGCTGCTGCTTCGGGTGCACTGATCGGATTTAACTAGAACGGCGGCTACTGATGTCCGTTGGAAACGGCATCCAGGGCCGACTCGTCTGGAAAATAACGCTGCTTCACTTGATCGACGGCTTTGCACCATTCCAGCGCGTAACCATCGGGATCTTCCAGGTAATACTTGCGATTAGGCTGCAATCGGCAAAAGCAACCGTAGTCAAAACCAGATCCATAACATGATTAGGAAAGCTCACCGTGTGGATGAAGAAAGTCTTGAAGTTCTTAGCCTCGATGCGCAAGTCTTTGCTCCAGGGAATTTCGCCCTTAAATGTCATGGTCCCGGGGTCCACGTAGTACAAATGGGGCCCTAAAGTGAGCAGGAACATTCGTCTGCGCGGAAACAGCCCCTTGCGCTTATCTACTAAACCTGAAGTAAAGTCGCATGAGCAAACCCCAAAATGCCTTAATGTGGCAGTTGAGCCTCACCCTGTTTGAGTATTAAATTGCCCTCCACAAATACATGGAACGGGTTGCTCTCCTGAGCAAGCAGTCTTTTTTGAATTTCCTCCTGTGAGAGCTCAGTCAAGTTGCGCCCGGATTCGGACTTTTTGCGGGTCGGAACTGGCGCCGCATCAGGCAACATCTCGTTGAACGCCAGCCTGGAAAGTAAGTAGCGGCATTTTCCTTTAGCTCCCTTTCCTGCGCCTACTACCTGGATAGCTTCTGGTTGTCCAGGCCGGGTCCGAGGTCGACAAACACCGTGCCATCGCTCTCATTTAGAATCAAAGGGGCGTTGGATAGCTGAGGAGGTGGGCCCAAGTCGTTCCAGTTAATGCCCTCAAACATCTCGTGCTCGCGATGGCTTGAATATGGAACGGCGTCCGAAGCCCCTAAGCAATCCCTCAGTAAAGCAAAAAAACCAATGAAAGTGCAAACTAGTGCGGCTTACCTAGTCGCCGATTTGGCTCAATAACTACCAGTTTTTCTACGAAGTCTTTTACTCTCTCGTCAAAGCTGTCGGGAAAGCTGTAGTCCAGCTTGAGGATCTTTTGGAAGATCAGATAGTCGCTGCCGGCCACAAACAGCATATTGCCGCAAGCCATCTGGTAGACTGAAAGGACGTTTGAGGTGTTTTGAGGCGACTTCCTCAAGCTTACCTATGCATCCCAGGGCCCACAGATCGGAGGCATGCGACGATTTGTACTCTTGCAGCATTTCAGGGCTGACGAATTGCGCGGTGCCCACAAAGCTGTTCCGTCTTCTTTGTCGCCCTTTCTGCATATTAACATCCGAATCGCCTGCGGACGAAACGCGATTAGAAACACGACATTGATTCTGACCAAAACCACTTGCCATTTGGCTCGCCTTGCTGGTCTTTCCGCAGGATTTTCGCACTCCCAAAGTCCGTGATTACCACGTGAAAGTTGTGATCGAACAGGATGTTCTCCGGCTTTAAGTCCCGATGCACGATGCTCTTCAAGTGCAGGTATTCCAGGGCAAGAATCAGCTCAGCAGTGTAATACCTACGGGGGGAGTTTGGTGCTTATTTGAGGACTTTCCGGTTGCCCCAAGTTCTAACCTTACACAGTCGAAGTTGAACTGTTTATGTAGCTTGATGTGCTTGAGCAGTTCGCCATTGCTGGCGTAGGTGAGAACAAAGTAGAGCCTTTGGCTGTCTTGGAAGGTGCTGTAGAGGTGAACAATGTAGGGACAGGAGCTGCCGAGGATTCGCAAGGACTCCTTTTCCCGCATTACGTACTCGGTCTTCTTCTCCTTGATGATGTGGGCCTTTTCCAGCACCTTAACTACAAGTGGGTTGATTGGACCAAGCTAGTTAATGCGGCGAGCAACTTACTGGCCACTTCTTTGCCCGTCTGCACATCTTTGGCCAGGTAAACCGTGCTGAAACTGCCCTCGCCGATGACTTTGCCGAAAATGAAGTCCGACGGGGTTTTCTTGCGCACTTCTGGCTGAACTTGCGACGAGTTATTGGGCGGCGTCATTGTAAAGCGGAGCACTGTCTGGAAATGTTGGTATTTTAATGCCATAAATAGATGATTTCGGCATTTAACACAAACATCTCGAACTGGTGCAGGCCGGAATGTCTGTAATTGAACTGTTTTGCAGCAGTTATTAGTGACTTTTCAGCTCGTCTGTGGCCTTTCAGATCCCAGCCAATTGAGCCTCGCAACTTATACACAACAAAGCCTAGTTGAATGAAACAAAGAACCTACTCGGGCACTTTCTCTTTACACTACTGGGCGATCAGATTCGAAAGCCAATAGCCAACGGCGGAAATCCCCAGACAGAACAAACTGAGCGAACTGGGCGATGTAAATGCTCGACAAATGTGCAATCTGCGGCTGGCTGGAGACTTACCTTAGTGATTTGAGTGCAAGAACGTCACGAAATCTGCGTCACTACAGTGGAAATCCATGAAACTCGTAATCGGTCGGTTAAAAACAGTTAATTGCAACTGATACAAAGCCAGTTTACGTCACGATACTTGAGGGTGATTAGTGGAAATTTGGCCTTTAAACCCCGATTTGCTGTCCTGGGCAGCGCCAAATGGGCGGCATTCAGCGACTAGGGGATGATTGTACGGGGGCGAATTTAGCGCGAGTAGTTTTTGCCCTTTGGTTTGGAGAAAAACAGGATTTCACTGGGTTTTTGCTAGGGATTCCTTTTAAGTGTATAGTATTTTGACGTTTAGGTGACGTCCAGTGACGGTTAGAATTATTTGGGCAACTGGTACAGCGTTGTCAGGGCTGCGGTATTTTTATATTAGAATTTTCTTTAATTTGATGCATTAGTTAAGATCCTTTTACTGTATGCGGTGTTTTTCACCAATATTGTATGTATATACACTTTATTTTTGCCTACCTTTATTAGCGCATAGTTGAATTGGAAAAGGACGGCAATACGTCCGTGATCCAGACTATTGTCAGATTTTTTGTTTCTCTGCATATTCCTTCGTTTTTTTCTATGTTTTTGTTTTAGTGAGTGTTTGCTGCAGCACTGTGCCGGGAATGTGCACTATCAGGAAAAGTTTGCTCTTAATTTGCTTCAGGGCTGCGCCCCGACGTCGGCAACGTTGCAGAGCCATTGGGATTTGAGTGTTTCAAGTGAGCCTGCCATTGATGAAGGTTTTCCGTTGAGTTTTTAAGTTTTATTCGCAATTGCAGCCCCTAACGCTTCACTAGAAAGGTCTCGAAAGGGTTGGATTTTCAAATATACAACCCCGCCAGCAGTTTCAGAGTGGCATGCCTAGATGGCGACGTTGGGCGAAAGTTTATTTTCGCCAACCGCACCCTCTGACTGTCAAATGTGGAAAGAATTCCCTGCTTCTTTTGTAAAAATCGTAATGGTGCCCGTTTATAGACTGTAAAAAGTGAGCCGAAACGCAGACTATGTCTCTGGAGACCCGGTCGAATTCCGCCCTGTTCAAGCGGGCCGAACAGCTTAAACGATGGGAGGAATCGGACACAAATCGCGAACCAGTGTCGCCGAAAATCAAGTCGCGCCGAGTAAAGTTCTCCTCTGGCTGTGTGTTTCTGGCAGCGTGCGCCGCTGGTGACAAGGAGGAAGTGCTCAAGTTGCTGGAAAAGGGGGCCGACATCAATACAGCGAACGTCGACGGCCTGACGGCGCTCCATCAGGTACCCCCGCAAACGCAAATCGCCCATCCACCTGTGCCGAAGGCCCCCTTTTATGTCACTTGGCTAGCTCAATATGGCCGCGACAGCTGTGTCATATTTGAGGCTGTGCTCAACCACAGCCCGCCCTTGTGCCCTCAACTGGCCCCCCAATAGCCCATTTGTTAATTGACACCCTGCCCCAATTTGGCCTTGATCCGAAGTCCCACTCATTAGGGACGGTTATTTACTGCAATTGTGCAACTGCAAGGGCAATGACCGTTCATATAAACACTACTGGGAAGTTTCGCATTAGCGGCCCCAGATGCCCAAAACAGTGGGACTGACCGGAACCAGGTGCCCTAGAATTTAAGCCGCTTTAGCGCAGTCCACGAGCTTTGAACTAACTTCCCTCTAGAGCCGCCAGTCAGGACTAAGGGGGGCCAAGGCGGGCAAAGCCACCAAACACCCAATGACATCAGAAAAAGGCGTTTAACGCCCCGATTGCCAAACATCTTAATTAAATCAAAAAGGCAAATCAGTTACATGACTGATGATGATTCTGTAGCTGGATCAAAATCGATTGGGCTCCTGGCGGCTGATCAGTTGTTGACCACATCAAAAGCCCGCAAAAATAACGGCGCAGTGTGCGTGTGTAAAAATAGTTCCCTGAATTAGTCACTGACTAATAACGGCGCGTTCGCAAGCGCTCCTGCATGAAAGCGAGCCCACTAGAGCCCCATTCAGTGCTGTTATGCAAACGCCTTGACTCTTCAGCAGCTTCTTCTCTTTGCTTGCAGGCATGCATCGACGACAATCTGGATATGGTGGAGTTCCTGGTCGAGCAAGGGGCCGACGTGAACCGGGGGGACAACGAGGGCTGGACCCCCTTGCACGCCACTGCCAGCTGCGGCTTCAAATACATCGCCAAGTACCTGATTGAAAAGGGGGCCGATGTGGCCGCAGTGAACAATGACGGCGAACTTGCCCTCGATATCGCCGAGTGCCAAAGAATGACCGATTTATTAAGGGATGAAATCCGCAAGAGAGGTATTGGTTTTGAGGCAAGTGTAACACATAAACCGACGTTTTGACTGTGTTTATTCCAGGTATTGACTGTGACGCCGCACGAAACGACGAAGAAATCGCCATGCTTCGCGACGCCAAAGAATGGCTGGCCACCAAAAGTTCCTTGGTCAACGAGCCCCATCCCAAAACGGGGGCCTCGGCGCTGCATGTGGCTGCTGCCAAAGGCTACGTGAATGTTATGCAGTAAGCAATCAGGCCCCGTTTGCCCCGCAGTCGTTCTAATGGAGCCCTTTTCAGGGTGCTGCTTCAATGCGGAGCCGACATCGACGCTCAAGACACTGATGGCTGGAGCCCCATCCATGCAGCCGCCCATTGGGGCCAGGAGGAGGCGTGCCGATTGCTTGTTGAACACTTGGCGGACTTGGACGCGAAAAACTACGTTGTACGTACTTTAACACTTGTATATCTTCAGTTTTTTAACTTTTGATGTTTTAGGGACAGACAGCATTCGACTTGGCGGACAACAGTATGCTCACGTTGCTAACGAATCTAAAAGAGAAGCAAGACAAAGAGGAGGTGAACAACAGGAAAGCGAAGAAGCGAGCAGAGACGCAGGATCGAAGCATCGAGCCGGACTCACTCACCCAAGTGAAGAAAGTCAAAGTGGAGATAACCGGGGGCCCGCAGGAAATCTCAAAGAGCAACGACATTGGTGAGTAGCCGGAGCAAACGCCCGAACCAATCACGTTCTTCATGGATATTTTTCTCTGTTTGTTCGGCTGCCCGAAACAGAAATGGAAAACGAAAGTGAATCGGAAAGTGAGGTGGAAACGTCCGAGAGCGAGTCGGAAGAGTCCAGTTCAGAGGAAGAGGGTAAATTTAACGAAGTTTTTAATGTAACCCTGGAATGGGTCCGTTTAACACTGAATGAGCATCCACCTTACCAGGACTTGATTAATGTAATTGACCGTATTATATCCCTTTGTGCTTGCATGCCATTGTTTCGCATCCATCTAGCAGTCTATAAATATAAATAAGCAGTTTCCACTTGGATGACAACGCCTGACCAGGTGCAGGACTAATATGGACCCGAATGACCAACAATTCTTTGCTAGTGTAGTGCGCCCTAGTTTAGCTGCATATTCTGCAGGATTCTCGGGCACACTAATTTCCAGCCTTACTCCATAACTATTAGGCTTCGACCCTCCACCACTAATAAACCCGGTCTCTCACCAACAGCGCTCCTATTGAACAACATTCCTGCCTTTTGCAGAAAAGAAGAACAAAGCGAATGCACAGAACATCAACGACAAGGTGACGATAAAAGAGCCGGAGGTGAACAAGCCGCCGTTGCCGCCGAAAACTATCGAGAATTCCGAAGAGAAAATGCCATGGAGGCAACAGATCACCAAGCCCAAGTCGGACTTGAACAGTCCAGAGAAGAGCAATGTTGTTTTTGGTAAGTTCGTTTTTCTAGACTATAGAAAAAAAATTAAGGCTCCTCACTGGGGATTGTTTCAGATGATTACAAGCCTTCGAATCTGAACAACGAGAACGAGGTGACGTTGAGACGGACCAAAAGCTTCCAGAATGACGAATTGTGAGTTTCCCAGTCAGTTTCAGTAACGTTTGGCTTGCGTTGTTGTTTTTCGAAAATTCATTTGAAGGTTATTCGAGTCAAAGTAGCGCTACTAGAGCAGTATTTTGAGCTTAGCACTTAAGTTAGTGAAGCAGTGATTTGAATGGGGTTTTAGACCACTTTATTGTAGAGTGCACCTCGTAGCAAAGCCGTAGGTAATGAAGAGCGAGCGCAATATAGCAGTAGGCATGGCAACCGCTCTATCCTTGTAGCGCTTGCCCGCAATACCGGGGCCGATAATTAAGTTCCCATATCACTGCTTCGCAAAGCGGCTGTAATATCGCATAAGTAACTGCCACCACCATCATCTTCATCATTCATTAGTCTAACAAACGTGCTTTGCCTAAGGTTTTTTTCACAATTGTCCTTAAGTAGAGTGTTTGGGTGGGGTTATTTTGGTTTTTGTTTTTGTTTTTTTTAAGTGGCTAACCCGCAATTAACACGCGGTTGCTTTTTAGGTTCTACACCAAATACAAGGCCCTGCATGCGCGCATTCAAGCAAATAACGATACCGCAGTCATAATCCCTTCCGCTCGGCCTAAGTCTGACATCATCCTAACCAATAGCACCGAATCGCATTACAGGTACGCACCCGAATGCAGCCAACCAATGCCGTCTTAATTGTAGAAATTGCTCTATTTTTTTTTGAATGATTAATCGGTTTGGTTTCCCGTAATTGGTTGAAGAAGCTTTGGTAAATCTGGTCATTTTTTAGGAGCAACGAAGTCAGCACCAGTACTGCCAACACCAACATATCAGCTTCGCCCACCACAACCACCAGTCCCCAAGCGCAGAACAACCAGTCGGCGTTCCGAAGGTTTGTGTGCGTTTTTCTTGATAGTTTCTTTTGCAAAAATCAACTCTGTTCGATAATCGAAGCGGCTTGAGGTTGAGTCTCAACCAGCCGGCTTCGGCCACCAATGGCAGCGCTCCCGCTGCTGCAACCACGCCCACGAGCACAGTGACCACGCCAACCACCCCCGGCGGCACTCGATTCCAGATCTTTAAGAATTTCTTCAAGTACGGTTCGAGTTTGGTGTGCTTGATTTGATTGATTTAAGTAGCACTAAACCCTAGAGGGTGGCATTAACATGCTAGTTTTTCGCGTGTTCTATAACTATCCGGCCAAATGTTTGGGTGTCGTTTATTTAATGGCGATTCGTTGTGTTGCAGATCTTTCGTCCCGCCAGTGAGAGATGAAGAGAGCGAAACGCAGCGAAAAGCGCACGCAAAACGGGTGCGAGAAACGCGCAGATCAACCCAGGGGGTAACGTTGGAGGAGATCAAATCGGCCGAACAGCTGGTCAAGCTGAAGAACCAACCGAACAACAGCGATACGGTAAGTGACCGGCTAATCGAACGGTGTTACGGTTGTAAATAACCATCATCGGTCAGGTATTGTTTGACGTCATTTAACCACTCATTGAACGGTTTCTAACTCTCCCACTAACAGTCGGGACAGGCCGGCGATAACTCAAACTCCGGCCTCAATGTCTCGGTCACCATTGCCCCGCCCCGACCGGAGCCGGCTCCAAGTAGCGTCTCCGAGACGACCAATGGCAGTGCCACTGAGTCGCATATAGCGCCAGTGGAGTCGCACGAGCGCCGCCCCTCTTGGCGGCTCAAGGTAGACGGCGGCAGCAAGGTAAGTTTTCATTGGTGGGAATCAATCGCATGTTAGATAGCGCATGTTGGTGGTGGTATCGCACTTGGGGTTTGATGTATGTAGCTATTGTCATCATTTTGCAATGCATGATAAAATAGGTGCATAATCTTCACACCTTCTATCGCACTCTGGTCGCAGCGCCGAGCAAACCAGCTCTGAAGATGCAAGCGAGTCGTCGGTAGGTTTGTAGGATATCAGAGCCCGAGTGCGATGCAAGGTTTGAAAGTTTTTATTCATTGGGGGCGATTTCGCCTTTGAATTGAACCGATGGGATTCGTTTAAAATCATCTCTTCTATCTCTTGCTTGCTTGCACTGTGGAAGCGCCCGCTTTTTCGTCGTTATTGTATGTTTTGCTAGTATGGGCGTTTATAGTCTGTCCCAAGCTTTGTGGCAGTGACGCAAATAATTGTCGATCTTTTTCTATTATTTTTTTACAAACTTCTTGTTGGGTATTTTGCCTCAAAAATTTTTGTCTTTAACAAAGACAGAATTTCCTCACGTCTTTTATTACAGATTGATAAATAGTGCTCCTATTTCGCAATAAGAACGAATTATTTATCAAAAAGTAATCAAGAACTATCACCTAGAGGGTATCCTGCGACACACTTACGCTCAAGCTGTAAGAGAAAATTCCAATTAGTAAAGAAGTTAATTTGAAAAATTACCTTGACGTTTCGATAGCTATTTTCTGCTATCGTTATCAAAAGAACCTAAATGAACCCAAAAATAGTATGTTAATAAATTGTGTAACAATAGTAGCATAATACAGGCGGAATACCCAACAAGAAATTTGTAAAAAAATGACTCCGCCTCAACAATATAGAACTTATCTACTTTTTCTATTACTTGTCCACCGAGCGGCGAGGAAATTTGATGTTATTAACGTGCCCCTTTCATCAAATTGTTACAATGCGCGAAAGTTCTTCATGGCATTGGTCGAATCCGGAAATAGACGGTTTTCCAAGTATATTTTTTGTAATTGTTCTCGTTGTCTTTGTGGGGTGGAGCAGTAAAATGCGCACTTTTTATATCAAACATAATTTTCGAAATGCGTTTAGTCTTCATGTAAAACGCAAAAATTTGAAATAAGTGCGGGTTTTTAAAACCGGTGTTAGTCTTCACCTCATATCTAGAGAACCGGTTTAGCTGCAAAGCTCTAGCTGTTCCTGCGGAAACTTCAAAATAATGACGTCACTGCCAAAGGACTTGGGCCCGACTATAGGTGTTTTGGTTGCTGGCAACTTGATTGATCCTTGTTTTTCAGAGAGTGATGTGCTACATAGCGGCAGTTTTCCTTATTTGTAGCTTCTACTTTTTATGCGATCCGCTGCAAATGCTTCAGATCGGTTTCCTAATCGTCATATTGTTCTGGTGTTTGGAGCGCTTTTGAACGGGATTTTCAAATCTCTATAAAGTGTATAAAGTGCATGGGGGGCGGCCAGCCAGCAGAAAGAGATTTTGCTGCTATCGCCCCCTTTATAGTGTAAATACTTGAAAGTAGTCGCTTTAGTTGTTGCTTTTTTACGTTGCTGTTCAGGGCATTTTTACATTGATTGATTGATAATGTATGTAGTTGCCTTCGGCTTTTGCTTGCACTAATAGTTTTTTTTGCGTAATAAATCCTGCTGATTAGTTTTGTGTTTTATTTTGCTCGAAATCCTCCGCATTGGGCTTCGACACGCGATTTTCAACTGGTTTTTGTGCAGTTCAAGCTGGAGGACGCAACGAAGCCGGAGGCCCCCAACACGCCCTCCTTTATCAGGCGACTGAACTCGTCTACCAACTCGTCCAGGCCTTCTTCGGCGCCCATCGAGACTGCCGAGACCACGGTGACGATACCATTGCGACGGCCCAAATCCCTCGAAGAGAAAGGTGGGAGCCGCTCAGGGATAGAGGGAATGGTAGTTAAAGTTGCACTGTTGTAGAACAAGACAAGGAGAATGACGTGAGGAATGCGCAGGCCACGCTTGCAACGCAGGCAGCCATCCAGAGGAGAAGGCGACCGAAGAGACGATCCACCGGCGTGGTCTCGTTCGACAATGTGGAGGTGATTTTTCCAGCCGATGGTATTCCTTATGTTGTATTAATAGGGGTTTGTTTGCAGGACATGGACCAGGAGAAGGACCCGGCGGCTGGAGGCGACGCGCCAGAGGCCACCAAGCTGTCTCATGAGGTGAGTGTGGTTGGGTTCCGTAAAAAGGCCGTTTTTGACGCAACTTGAATGCTTGGGTTCACCAGTCCTCGTCGAGTTGCATCACGATAACAAATAAATCGCTGACGAGTGCGGCTGCGATCTATTTGGGTAGGGCCTGTTGTAATCGTGTCCCCGTTACGAATGCAATGCGACCGCCTACGCCACTGATGTCGCACGTTCTTTTGGCATCCAGCCAGCCACACGTTTCGCCTTTCCCGAAAAGCCCAAATGGATTTGTTGGCAACGTGAAGCATGGCAAGCGCGTCAGCGTTCTGGTGTTGGAACAATTACTTTGTGCCGCATCAAGCCCAAAAACCGCGAGGTTTTTTTGGAAATGTTGGCACGTTTCCATTCCCGTGCCCGATGGTTAATTATTATTATTAATAGAGACCGGGCAGCGGCGCAGACTTTGAATCAGCCGCTAATTTTAGAAGCCTTATTAAAATCTGCCGTGGATTGAGGAAAACCGGGTCTGATTGAGGTTTGTGGAGGGACCCTCCAACTGATTAGGAAGCACGTAAAATTTCGCGCAAAAACTCTGAAATCCAGTACGCACTTGTGTCGCATACGTAAGTTCACAGACCAGCCAAAATACCCGAACAGTCAGTTCAGTTTCGGGTGTCGAGGAAATTGTTCGGTGAAAACTCGCCGCATCGACGTACGTGTTTGGGTTGCGAGAAAAATTCGAATTTTCCAAGGCGCAAAGTGTTTACCAAAACAAGAGCAGTGTTTGTCGGGATCTGTTTGGTTTGTTGCCTATTCAAAGCAGATTGAGTGGTAAATTGATTGGGCATCGGCTTTGTTGCTTTTAACGGTTCTGATTGGTTCAGGTTTGATTTGCTTCATTCCCAAAGTATCTGGTTCTAGGAACACTTGGGTGAATTTGGGTTTACTTGCGAAGAAATTCACAGCACTGATTCTTGGCCAAAACGCGTCAATTCGGAAGTTTATTATGTTTTTTTGCGCCCAACTTCAACGTTAACACTGTCTAGTGCTTGTGTTGTGCCAAGCCCTTCACGCACGAGATTGATTTTTGTTCAAAACCTGTTCAAGATACGGCATATTGAAAGCAGTAAATCTCAGCTAACGCAAGTAGTCCCAAATGGGCCCTTTTAAGGCCTCAACCGAACCTCCTAATGGGAAGAATTTTCACTGCGCGCTTGTTTTGCGCCTGAAAACTGTAAAAACGCAATAATTCCCAATTTAAATCAAATGAGCTCAATTAAATAAACATTCTCACTATTGCTGGGTGAAAAAGACGCGTATTTTCACCACTGGGTAAACAAATTTTCGATTCTGCTATATACAAACGCTAAATCGGCGCAAACATTGAACTTGTTTTGCGTGACTTTCGCACGTCCTTCGTTTCAGCCAATCGCACGAAAAAAAAACCATGTCCAGTACCGCCTCGTACCATCACACCCCTAGGAGTAAGCAACCGATCGCTCCAGTGCGACACCGATCCTCGTCGGCAGTACGTGCGGGGTCCAGCGCCTACAATAATCGGCCGCGAAGCGTCGGCTACTATGGAGGCAGTTCGTATGGGAACGCCTACAGCTCGCCCTACGGCAGCAACAATAGCCTGCCCTATTCCGCCTCCTCGTCCTCCTATGGGGGTTACAACGGGTCTTCGTATGGCTCCAGGTTGATTTAGCCCCTGTTTTCCTTAAGTTTGCGGTTGCAAAGTGGCCCTATTGCTTGCAGCTACCAAAGTCCCTACTTCCCCAACGGCTACCGGGGAGCGTCGGGCTACGCCAGCTTGACGATTCCCTCCAAAAGCCTCTCGAACTACGCCAAGTCGTACGAGAACATCAAGGTCGGTTACGAGTTTAGGGGGTTCAGAGCAGGCGATTTTAATTTTTATTTGGGCGCATTGTGAAGAACGATGCGGCTCGAAGGTCCAGACGGGAGCTGGCGCGTGGGAACAGTTATCGGGAACAGTCGCTGTCCAGGTCTAGAAGCTCGCTTCCAAGCATGGGCAGCCGCTCCCTGAGCTTAACGTCCCTCAACTCGGAAGGCTACATTGTAAGCGTGGTGTTGCGTCAAAAACTTTGCCTTTTATCAATTGTCCCTTAATCAATAGAGTACAGGCGAACTGTTGTTGTATTTGCAGAGCGGCTCAGAGCGGAGCAGCCGGTCGCGCGTCAGCAGCACAGTGGACATCAGAAACGAGAACGGCGAAATCGACTACAAGAAGCTGTATGAGGAGCAGCTGGTTGAGAACGATCGGCTCAAGGACAAGCTCAGAAAGTCGGACGAGGAACTGAAGGAGACCAAGCAGACTCTGGAGCGAATCAATGTGGTGGTGAGTGGGCTGGACCAGATGCCAGCTGCCAGCAGCGGCTTTCTATTTAGAATTTCCCCGAAACCAGCAGCCTGTTTTTCGCCCGCGATTAATCGCGCTGCTTGCGGCGATTGTAAACAAAAAACACGCTGTTGGATGTGAAGGTTGCTTCTATTATTATCATCGTCATCGCCAGGAATTAGAAAGTGAAATTGATTCCATTCAGTGTAATAAACGGCGTGTGTTTTATTGCAGACGAGTAAAAATTCGTTGTCCGAATTGGAGAAGCGAGAGCGCAGAGCCATGGAGCGGAAGCTGAGCGAAATGGAGGAGGAACTAAAGGTAGGTTGCCAGCCAATGTGCGATGGTGTCGTGTCTGTCCACTCAAGCTCTTTGCCCTACAAATTAGATGGAATAGGGGCAACAGTTTTCACCCCTCGGCTTGTCTTGCACCAGCTTCGGTCGACTTTAACTTAACACTCTTCTCGGCTAATCCTCCACAGTCCCTCCTTTCCAAAACGTTTCAACATAGGGACACTTTTCGTCGACTTTGTGGGGATTAGTAACGAACCAGACACTTTTTCTAGCAATTGCAAAAATTGAAAGCCGAGAACGAACGACTAAAGGTGGACAACCGGTCTTTGACACGGGTGATCAACAAACTGACCAATTCGGCGAAAAAATAGGTAACCACCGCCAACAGCCTACCAAAACACCGTCAGGTCTGCCCAATAATCAAACGCTTCTTTCGTTTTTCTTGACGTGTTTTTTACCCGTTCGTCCGCTTTCGATTCATCAACCTTTCATTTGTTGTCGTGTTTCATCAACATTCACATCAGCATCATCGCTTTTGCGCAGCTCAGTTTTACGGTTTCGCCTGCAGTTGTTTGGACTTTTCAAGCGTTATTTGCTTCGTTCACTGACTGTGCAGCTTTGTGTTCGTTGTTTTTTTTATTTAATGACTTATAAGCCTTGATTGGTTTCACTCCGCGAGATTCGCCGAAACTTTGTTGCCTGTTTGGCGAATGCGCGCGTATTCTACTGCGCGATTTTTTTGTACAAGTGAGAATCGGCCGGTGTTCGCTAGTGATTTTTAGTTTGGTCATTGACCGGAAAAAAGGCTCAGCTTTTCAAATCGAATCCAGACCAGTGAGTTGGAGCTAAACCTTGGAAGAATTGAAGCAGATCGATTTTAGCTTGGCTTATAAGTCGTTAGATCCAGATCGATGTAGCACTAACAGTAACGCCAGACTGGCTAACAGAAGTTTTGTTTCAGAATCTGGAAAATCTCAAAACGGAGAACCAGAGATTGAAAGATGAGAATGGCGCCTTGATCAGGGTCATCAGCAAGTTGTCGAAATAGCATAGGGCTTAATTTCCTGTTTTTTATTCTGCATTTTTCTAATTTATCAGTTTCTTGTTTTGTTATTCGTATGTTATATTTATGCGTTGTAGGGGCTAGGGCCAGGGCGTTAAGACAGCCACAGTTTTGGCCCCCGCTCTATGTCCTCCACCCACCACTGTATTTATTTTTTACATTAATTATTTATCGTTAAACTTTTTGTACAGTTTTTGAGTATTAGTAGGCGTGCAGCCGAGTCAGGAGTTTTTATGGCTTTGCCCCTTTCATTGACCCGACGTTCAAAGCGCCCCAAGTGTCGCTTTATTTTTGTTGTGATAGTCGTAACGATTTTCTTTGTGATTTTTTCGCGTCACTAACCATTCTATGTACGCAATTTTTCTTTTCTCTTTTAAATTTGAATTGTTCTTTCCGAACCCTTGTAGTTTACTTGCGCGCAAATACCGTTTTATTTTCCCAACACCGATCTGGGACTCACGTTTATTGATTGTGAAATCAGCAGACACGCGAAAAATGCCTTTGAAAAGGTGCTAACATGTTATTTGCTAGCCATTTATTCGAACTATTGTTCCTGGTTTTTGTCGAACTATGTGCCTTGCTTCGTACACTTTATTATAAATATCTGTATTTTCAATGTACATTACTTAGTTATTATACTTAGAGGCTCCTAAATAATGTGAATAGTGATTTTATATAGCTGATTATTTAATTAAAACTTTGAATCTTGTAGAGTTGCCTTAATTTCTCTCCCGCCGCCGCTTTAACAATAGTAGTATGTAATAAGGGATATCACAATATGATTAAGTTAAGTTCTGTACAACTGTACAATACTGCATGGGTGGTGCAGTTGTTACGCTCCAGAGCTACAGCAGCCCTTAGCGGGGGCTGGTTCGTCGTCCGTCACTACGAGCATGTTTCGTCTGATGGAGCTTTGTCTGGAAAGCGTGCCGGCCAGCGCGTTTTTAGCCAGCATATCCCTGGCTAGACCAACAAACATCTCCTCCACCCCTTGGTTGAGCTTGGCCGAGGTGAACCAATGAGTGGCCCCCACTTTGCTCGCGTACCTTCAACAAAGCCGATTAGAACACCCCGACATCTAAAGCCTCGCTCACTCACTCCTCGGCCTCCTCCACCGGCACCTGCCTTTCCTCCTCCAAGTCCATTTTGTTGCCCACAATGGCGAGGCACATGTCCCGACCCAGCATCTTCCTCAGCTCTTTCACCCACGTTTTCACCTTCTGGAACGAGTCTACATCTGCAAAACAGCCCCCAGTTGGAGCGCTTGTGGCTTTGAGGCACTTTTCCCCTTACCAGTTATATCGTACACTAAAACAGCCCCGTTGGCCGATCGGTAATAAATGGGGCCCAGCGCGTGGAACTTTTCCTGGCCTGCGGTGTCCCAAATGGCCAGCGTCAGTCGTTGACCGTCGATGTTGATTTTTTTGTTCAGGAACGACGCCTAGTAGGAACAATTTCAATGCATTAAGGCTAAATCAGGTGTTTTTCATGTTTTCTCCGATAGATTTTGGGGCAATTCCCAGCCGTTAGAGCGTATCGTACTAAAACATACGCACCTGAATGGTTGTGATGTGTTTGCCATTGAATTTGTCCTCGACGTAGCGCAGGACAAGGCTGGTTTTACCCACACAACCCTTGCCCAACAGCACTACTTTGAAGCTGACGGCTGCAATGCTGGAATTGGCCATTTTCAGCGAAAAGTCCCCGATTTGCCTTTGATTAGGACCATTTTGACGTTTCGTCAACTGTGTGAGGTTATGTCAAGGCTGGGTGTTGCCATATTCACAGCTCGGGTGGTTGTAGGCGGTGACCGCCAGAGGCCCGGGACAGTTGGGAAGTTTGAAAATTTGCCCATTTCTACTGCGGGTGATGGTGAAAAACTCCCACGGGGGCATAGGAGAGGGCGAAGCCCCGATTTGAGAGCGGGGGTGTTTGTTGATAGGGCCCCATTCGCGGGGTTGAGCCGGCAAATTTTGAATTTGCCGCCCGGAAGATTGCCATCTTGCATCCGGCCCGAGTCAAGCTGATACCTTTGGCTTTGTTTTGAATTTTCCTGCCGTGCCAACTGGCGATGACATTTCTACGGGAAAATTGCTAAAAACCGTCGGTAATTTTCTCAAGTAATACCCAGTGAAATTGTGCAGCGGTTGATATGTTCCAGGTCCAAACGGCTGTTGTGGAACTTGATTTGCGCAGACGGATGCGCTCCAGACGCATTACCATCCCAGCCGTCATCTGTAATGGTTTGGTCAGTGTGATTGTGCGGATTTTCAGCGATTTTACAGGAAAATACGCGGAAATATCGAGTGACTGCAGTCGAAATCGACTCCTTAGGGTGAGTAGAACGTTGTTCATTGAGTGTCATTCAGATTTAGTAGGCAGTTCACTTATGAATTCGTCTAATGTGGTGGCGTCAGTTGTTGCCTGAGCAGCGTACTTGTTTGAGCCGAGAATATTTTATTCCGGTTGTTCAAGCTGTTGGTTTCCGATCCCCAAGGGTTTTGCCCGTTGGTTTGCCAGTTGATTTGAATGGCAGCCAAAGGAGATCGCACGTTGTCAATGCCCTTTGCATGCAATGACCATGTCTGGAGTTGTCGTACGCACGTAGCCAAACTTTCACTACTTACACATGCATTCTTCGGCTAAACATTGCGAAAAACCTTCCTCGCATCCGACAGCACACGGTCGAATACTCCAGTTCGCATTGATCAATCAGTTTTCGGTCTTGACACCGAATTTCCAGCCCGAAACACCGTTTCCATCATCGCATGCTGATTGGATATCTCCATTATCAGCTATTTGCCATTGTTTCAGTGTGCAATCGCATTTTTATTGCAATTGCAATCGCATAAGTCTGGTCTCCTCGGTGCCAAATGGCTGGTTACCTGTAGAAGGCGTGCAGCCGATCGGCTGCACGTACTGCAGTTCGCCTCAACAGATACAGGTTTGTTTTGATGACCTCGTTTGCCAGTTGTTTATTCAAACTATGAAAGCACGCCTGCAGGGTATCAGAATTTGGGCTTCGCTGTTGGGAAATGCTCAGCCACTTTCTTGGAATGAGGTCAACGGATTTGGGCAAATCGGGTAAACCGAGGGGCTCAAATCTGCCTCGGCGGGAGGCCTGGCTATTCATTGGATTCTCAGCAGTCGACGGTAAAGGGACCATTAGTCAAGTCATCTAACTGTTTGTGTCAAACACACAAGGCAAATGCATGTGTGTTCAATTGTGGCTAATTCTTCACTCTTTTCTTCCTGCACTTGCCTGAGCGCTAAGCTGGGGAACAAACGGGCTTTGCCTCAACGTCGGCTAATGCTTTAACATTGATAATTTATCCAAGAAGTTGGGCCGTCTGCTGAAATCGGCAGGCTTCTTCTGGACGTTTTAAAGTGCCGGTTTCAGTTTGCATCTTTTTGATCAGCCTCAATCTGTCGGGAGTGAAGCACGGTTTGCAGATAGACTGGCCGACTCACAGGTGGTTTGGATGCAACGACACCCATCTCTTAACAGCTTCTTTATTCTGGTTGCCCCAGTGGATGAGGACGTGCGATCGATCGCGTCTCAACGCGCGCCACGCGCTTGTAGGGTGAATAACCTGCGTGCCATTGGCGGGAACGCTCTTCTCCATTTCACGTGCCGATCCGGCACGTGGATCGAAAAACCGCTTTTTTGTATTGGCTCCTATTTGTATTTGCTTGTCTCTAACCCAATCGTACGGCCGCTTCCATGTCGTACTTCTCCTCACAAGTTGCTCCGCTTGGCGCCACCCTGTTCGCCTAATTGACGCAATGTTTCTATCGTAGGTCATGTTTACCTCAGTTTTGTGTGGTACGCAAACATGTTCTTATCGGAGCTTGGGTGCCTCGAATAAGTGTTGCGAGACCTTGACTGGGTCGCAGCCACGAAAACAACGCTGCTTGTTTTCCAACTGCAGGCCAATTATTAGTTATTTATATGAAAATCTCGAGGGGGGCATGGCAGACTCATCACCTGGTTGCCATTTATTGTCACCTAAGTGTATGTTGGCCATGCGATTCCAAGCCTATTTTTAGCCCGGCTGGTTGCCCGACGATAGCGCGAAGAAAAGTAGACCATTGACTCCGACTGGGCGACTTCATTGGGCACGTTTGTTTTCCTTTTTTCATTTAGCGCTTGCCTTGATTTGCATGCTCATGACCTGGTAAAGGGTTAATTTAATGAACGCAATTTATTGCTGGTTACTTTCGTAGATGTAGTTCGTGGAAGGTCAGTAGTTCCGAACCAATTGGCTTCAGCGGTCGTGCATTCACCAATTTGTACGCAACAGAACAGAGTATGCATTCGCCATTTTGTCCGCAACCAGAACGAGTTGGGTGTAAGCAACTGTTGTTTTAAGGTTCGCTCTTCATTTTCATCTTGGGAATACACCGACAGTTTCATTTGGCATAATCTTTGAATGATTCTCTGTACGTGGAATAGTCGAAACAGGGACACTAGTTAATTTTTTGTTATTTGTTGCAGGTACAAGTTGAGAAGCAATGTTTTCATTTCATAGGCCCAAAGTGTACCGGTCGCCGACTGGATGTTGTATCTGCAAAGCCAAATCCAGCAGGTAAATTTCGGCAGTAGTCCACAGAGCCACAGGCATTAACAGGCATTTTTTCAGCTCCCGCTTTACCGACAGCAAAAAATATGAGGAAGACTTTCTAGAATGCTTCAAGTTGGCCAGTCCACGACAGGGCGAGATTTGCAATGCCTGCGTTCTGTTGGTCAAGCGATGGAAAAAATTGCCTGCCGGGTCTGGACGTCACTGGCAACATGTAAGTGAATGAACGTTTAGTCAACGGCCATCATTTAGGTCGCGAGTGTATCGAGAAAGTGTTCCCTGATTTGTTCGCAATTCCTGGCATGTTCGGTCCGAGCCCCAAGTGCTTAATTAGAGTTTTTGCTCTCCTGAGAGCTCAGGTGATCATGATCCTGACGATGCAAAATTTCTGAATCTTTAAATTTTAACACCAAATGCGTAAATGAAGCTCGATATCGGTTTTTGACCTTTGACCGATTTTCAACATCTGAAGCTGAAATTTTTCTTTTGGCTGGAACCAAAAATTGAATGTACAGGGTTGTACGAATAAGCGAATTGTTTAAAAGTAGTGCATTTTAATTGAATGTCTCATTTGGGGCACTTTTCCGGCAAAAATATTGTGCAGCACCAAAAACTTGATTTTTTGAAAAATACCTACTTATTTTTTTAAGCGCTACAATGAACTGAACTGGTAATTATTAAATAAAGTGAAATGCCCTATGTGAATTGCTCATGACCTAAACAAGGATGGGGCGCCTACCACAAGCGTCTCTAGGTATACGGCACGTCCTGTCACTTCTATCGATTGCGGCGATTCGAACCAATCAAATAAGCCTACCGGTTTATTGTTATCGAACGTATCGTTGACAAGTTCTACAAATGAGTTAAGACGATTTAAGGTTAGGTGGTTTTGTTTATTGTTTGATGATAACTATTTTATAATTTGTCGAGATAAACAACCGCGAGTCCGCCAATCATTTTTTTTTCATTCTCTCGTGCATTTCGAACCTTATATAAGCTCTAGATAAAAATGACAAACAAATAGTATCGTACAGAAATTCATAGGTAAATTTTATACGCTCTTGGCTAGTAATTTTTAATTTTTTAAGAGGGATTGTTCGAATTTGTTGGATCGAAAATAATAGCATTGCCTTTATATTACCACAAAGAAAGACAGTGATAATTATGAGTATTTCTTAATTTATAACAATTTTCAAATGATTTATTCTGATCAACTTAAATAGGTATTAGATTTTGTATTCGTAGTATTTAAGTAAGCAACTTAAACCATTAAATAA